AGTGCCCGTAGGGCTTCATTCTGGGCGAGTTTGAAGAAATTCGATTTTTTCGCTATTTCCAAGTCTAGTTGATATTTAGGCGAAGCTGCTCTTAAAAACGGTATTTTTTTGGCTAAAGTTTGGTATTCAAAGGGTTAAGTTGATAAAGAAACCAAGATGCGATTGCTTTGCGAGGGAAATTTCAATAGAAATGCAAGTGTTAATTCATAATTAAAAAGCTCTTGGTTACCACTCGTTTAATTATTTTTGTGCCAGTTCTCCCAAAGGTTACAGCAACGTTGGAGTGGAGAACGTTCCTTAACTGTGGTTGACAGAGGCGCGCCTGTTCCTCAAGTGCGTCACTCGTGATTCGAAACTGAGTCCCAGATAAAGAGAAGTGATTCGCAGCTGAATCTAATACTGATAAAGACAAAGTAAAGACAAATTAAGGATGTCTCAAAATCTAGGCGGCTGCCGGCATGGTCAAATCTGTCCTAAATGCGCAACGTGAAGTAATTAAACGTACAATTTAGCAAATCAATAGTTCAACTCTGACTGGAATTATGAAACACCAAAATAACTAATTTCGCGTCGTAACACAAGCCTCATTCAAACTTTATTCGTCGTTCCATAGCTTTACACATAGTTTAGTTCGTGGATTGCTGGACGCGAAAAGCAGAAAATTGCGAAATATTACCACCATGCGGTGCAGTGTCAAAGGCCTCAGTCGAAAAATCAACTACTGCGTTCTTGTGTCAGCGGATTCTGCTGGTCCTTCTTGTGCTGTAAAATTGTTTTTTGTTTCTCGAGGGGTTTTCTTCAGTCCTTTGGCTTTTTCAGCTCCAAGGAAGGCCAGCTTCCAATGTCTTCTTTTCGCAATTTGATCTCCACCTTGGTCTGGGATAGCAACACGGAGCTTTTCTCTGGGAGGATTGTCTGAAGAAGAAATATCTTGGTCAGAGCCCCCGTTTTAACAAGCGTACTCTTCCTATCAGAGCCCCCACCCAATTAGTGCTCATCTTCTGACTCTTCTAGTAACGTCCTAGATCATAGTTTTTTAGAGGGAAATGCTTATGAAGTCCGGCAAACATCAAAGGAGCAAACAGAGAACCCAAGATTTATGTTGGAAGGTCCACGACCGTGCACAATCTTTTATTTTTCGCTCATACACTATGCATGAATTACATAACCAACACGTTTCTATTGGTTAGTTCCTCTGTACGGAGTAAACAAGTATTGTGTTTTATGCACGGTCAAGGCCAAAAAAGCGAACAAAATCCTACAACAAAGAAATTTGTCGGGTTTCATAACCATCCCCCTCTATTAACTAGGCCAAGATATAAATCTTTTTTTGCTACCAATTTTCTGTCTTAACCTTTCCGACAGTGAAAACAGCTAGTATTAAATGACATATTTATTTTCATGGTATTCGGTCGTTTAGCCCTTAAGTCGATTAGCCTCTAGCCGGTTAGCCCCCACCCAGAAGTCGAGATCAATGACTCTTTCTCATTCTTTAAAAGGGCTCAGTCACGGTATTTTGAGTTATTTTGGCCACATACAAAATAACCTTTAAATGGTAAGAAACCTGAAAATAACAGTTTAATAAGATAGAGAAACACCAGAGATAATGATAAACCATAAAGGAACAAAGATGGCTACGGATGGAGAAGATTAACACGGATTACAAACGACGAATTTGAAAAATTGAGGCTAAACTTTTCAATATGCGCAAACCGTGACTCGGCTCCTTTAAGCGTGAAAACGAGAGAGAGTTGTGGGGGAGAACGCAGTTGGTGCGAAACCTCCACAATCCGTTCCCTCGATGACGTACGGTAAAGAAGAAAAGTTTTATTTGTGGGCTAGCCGACAAGGGTTAATCGACTTCCGGGCTAATGGACAGGATACCACTAAGAATTCTCAAGTTCTATTCGTTAAGTGGAAATATTACTCGCGTGAAATCAAACACGAATCATCCTCGCGATCGTCTGGGAAAGCATTTATTGTAGTCATTTCGGAACACTCACCCCGTGTAGATTGAGCTGAAGCTCAAACACGTTTGAGCCACCAAACACCACATGAGCACTTAACTGAAATACAAAGAACAAGTCTTTACTACCATAATTTGACATTAATATTGCTTCTGAGGCAGTGTTCTATGAGATATTAACACAATGTTTTATCCACCTACACACCGTGCATTCAATAACAAGTGTTTAATTGAGTAGAAAGAAGATGCTATTTGGACATCTGGTACAAAAATGTCTACTTACAACTGTTTTATTTGCCTCTACAAAGGTTTGTTCAGGATCACTCATCTTCGCAAATATTGAAATGACGATAAAGTTTCCCATTTTGTACCAGTCATATCTGAAAAACCAGAAACAACATACCATGAGGGATTTTGTATTCAAAATATGACGTTTAGGTCTAGGTCTTGGCCCTGAGAGCTGCGCTCAGGTGGCATATTAAAGAGTATGCTGAACTTTGAATCAAGTGGACTAGGTTCCAGTGTTTTGTTCTCCATCATGGTGTTATGACAACCTGGCAATATGACACAAGGTAAATGGACCACTGTAATATCCTAGTCCAGGAGAGTGGTGGTAATTCTTAGCTTGGAAAAGGGGGAAGGGGGCTACTTACAGAGTTATAAGAGAATGTACATTAAATACTGCTTGCAAAAAAACTCACCGGCACAGGACTTTCTTCGCTTTTTCCTGCAAATAAGAAGAAACCAAGCATATGGGGATTAATCCATGTAAAACACTTAAAAAGTACCAAATTCCTTTTACATGTTTTAAAGCCCAAACATTACTAATAACTTCTCCCCGTTGCACAGCTGAATACAATTTGTAATGTCTGACAGTAGCAGTGGGAAAGTGCAAATCCTGGGTATTTCTCTCTGTGCCTGATATATACATGTGAGATAAAAATGCGTAGTATCAAACATTTTACATTTATACTAATGAATTGAAGGAGAAGCCTTGGAAAATGTTTCGATTTAGCCTACAATGGACTTACATCAGCAAAACTCTTAGCTGCTTCAAGCTACAGAAACCGTGATAAGCTGTGGCAACATGCACCATTTGGCATACACACAAGATATTATAATTACACTGGCCGTACTATGTATCCTGAATATTGTCACATATAACTCTCTAACCCTATGACAGGTTGGGGTACAAATTGCTACCTTACCTCTTCTGTTAGTTCCCATCTGTGAGACCCCGAAGTGCATCCGTCTTGTTTTAAGAACTCATCAAAGTCTGTTGTCCTTTTCCGACAACAAGACCAAAATTTATACCTAAAACACCACATCGACATGTCATTTTCAGGATCAAACAACGTTATGTTGAGTTGAGGGTTCTTATCTACTATCCTACAAAAACTAGTCTCAACTGAAGCTATCAGAAACTACAATTATTATTATTGTGCTCAATATAAGAAATAAATTCTCAGTTCTGAATCCTTATATTAAATTGTCAGTTTTCAATAATATATATTTATAAATATAGTAATTATTTGAATCTCTCAATCCTCTGTCCTTTAGAATTAATCCTTAGCTCAAGTTTACTTCTTCATGCTCAATAATTTTTATTTTATTATCCACCATTCAGCTCTATCACCATAAACCCCTCCTTATAGAAGAAAGAACTTTCAAGTTCATTTTGAGATATTAATTAGTTTCAATAAGGAAGGCAAGCTTATCTCCTGACCCAGCCTTTAAATAACCAGAGCTTGACATTAGCATGCAAAACTCTATAACAGTTCTCAGATGCCAAAGCATATTGCCTCACCCTTCATGAAATATTGGTACGCCATAATGATTCCAGCACTTGTCATCGTTGGTACTTTCATTTACATATGACTAAATAAAATAAAAAAAGAGATTGAAATAGTTTGCTGGTGAAAAAAAAAAGTCCCAGGTTTGTATTTACTCTAAATGGTTTTGCTATAATTACAACTTAAATCTTGATAACATATACAATAAGATTAGACTCACGGTGTTACATCCACTATTTTTGCACATTGTTCCAGGTTTAACTCCACCATCATGCTCACTTCCTGATTAGAAACAATTCCCAGACAAAAAATTTACGGCCAAAATAAAAGATAAACATTGCACTATGTTACTTTGAGATCCACCATAACATTGGAAAAGGGCGACTGCTAATGAAGCTTCTTGCTTTTTGTACTCTAGCCTTATTGTTACTGTGTTTGGATAACATTATTGTGAAAGGTTTACCAGTACAATTATATAACTGTATTTTACATTCTCAGATCTGGGCTGGAGTTAAGTGTCATTGCATTGTGTTCCTACAGAGCAAGACACTTTTCCCTGAAAGAGCCTTCCTCCATTCAGGGCCCATGGACATGTGTTCAACTGTGAAAAGCACTATAACTATCTACCAACTCTGAAGTAAAACACTATCCAGTGGCAGGGGTTTTATTAACACTTTCAGCAGGAGGACAACTGGTTTTCATAGGCAGGCAAAACCATTTTAAACTGAACTTCGATTATATAAGAAAAACTTTCCTCCATCTAGATTGTCAAACCAAGCAGGCAAAATCATCCTAACAGCCACTCAATTTGCCTGATGCCTGACCAGGCTCTTGGCCAGATGGGCATCCAGGTTTCCTGTGGATGGCCACTTTATAAAGAAAATCATTTAAATTTTCATATGTTGCCTTAATTATAAATCGTTCATTTGAGCAGGCCCTTTTAAATCCTGGCTGAAAGCCTGTGCCTGACTCTTAATGAAAGCCCTGTCGAGTGGATAACAGCTGACAAAATAAGCTATGTAAGTACCTACATATATCAACTGGATGGTGCTTTAGCTGGTGCAGAGCATTATTCATTGTGCAAGAAGTATTGGTCACCTCGCCAACTTAATTAAGTAATAAAACGGATCACTTGCCATCACTTTTAACAGGTTTGTCTTTTTCTTGTTCTTTAAGTTTCACCAGAGCCTTTTTCAAAGAATCTGCCACTGACATCTTAAGCTTTGTCTTTGGAAGGTCATCACTAAAATAAGCACACAACATTGATCAATTAAAAATGTGAGAAACCCCTTGCTCTTGATGAAGTAAAATACACCAGTTTTGGAAATGAACACCTGCCCACTCACCAATGGGAGGGTGAAAAGTGTCAGATGAGTACAAATCATTGATCACTCGACAGTTTGGCTAGTACGGAATATTGCTAGCACTCCTTTTTATTTCCTATTTTGGCAAGAATATCTCCAAAGAAAACTTACATATGCTTCTTTTTAACTTTTTTATCTTTCGAGATAACAACTATGTTGTCAAGAAAACACAACTTAGTGTTTCATAAATAGACAAAATGAAGTAAGGCTTCCTCACTGTCAGTGACAATTCACATAACACTTACGTGTACGTGTATGAAGTGAAGTTGTTGGTCTCTAGGTGAGCCAGCAGTATTATTAGTGCATAAGAATTAGAATTGAAGATTTGCTTGCTAAGAAATGAATTTCATGAAGATCAGGCATCAATAGAAACTGTTTTGAAAATTGAAGTACCTCCACTGTAGTTACATGATTGTATCTTTGGGTTTAAGGTCTTTTAAGAAAATTTTTCATTGAAGGAAATCCATGTACCGACAAGTCGTTCACTTCAATGTCTCGATTCAAGGGAAATACGTGAATTCGGCAGTGCCAGCTGTTCGTTTAGCTGTTAAAAGTTGATGCCAAAAGTTGATGATAAAAGCAAGGATAAAGCACTAAAATCTGTCCGTGATCCTATTAGGAGGTGTCTCCTAAATAGACCAGAAAAAGAAGGCTCAACACGAAATGGCAAGCTGGGCCTCTGTGATTATGAGAAAACATGTGGTTTGTAAATCAATGCAGAGATTTTGGGAGGGAGGGGAGAAGGAGAGGGAGGAGGGAAGAGGGAGTACCGGTAATCTTTCTGTCGGGTGAGTGAAAATTACACCGAGCGAGTGCGTTTTGAGAGTCACTTGCAAGAAATGGCAAGTGCTGTCAAAATTTAGTTTCCAACACTGATACATGTGAGCAGAATACAAGACAAGACAGAATTACAAGCAGAATTCTATCTCTTAATGTGTGGGGACAACTGTTTTTTTTTTATGAAATCCAAGTGACAGTGGCAACTATTTCCTGTTAACATTAGCCTGTCATGAGTGCCAGTGGATATTGTTGCATGGGTTAGTGTGAAACACTTATCCATGAATATACAATGCAAAAAAAAAAAAATGTGAATCATGTAGTGCACTAAAAAATGTGAATCATGTAGTAAATATTGCGTAGTATACTATTCTCCTGTAAACAACCCCTCATGGAGTAAAAAAAAAAACAAATTTGTTCAGTTTCTTCAGCATATAAAAAGTATGTTCTTAGACCCTTGCTGTTCCTGGCCTGTTAGAATAAAAGCTAGGACCATCTCCCTTCTGAGAGCAGCATTTTTCATTACACCATGTTTTGACTGAAATATTCAAGGTCACCAATTCACTCGTCTTTTCAATATAGATCACAAGGCCATGCAGACAGCACAAGGCATGCAAATTTTAATCCAAGAGCACACAAACTTTATGTTGACAAAGATATGTACAAACTCAAATAATATACCTTGGTCTTTCAACAGGTTCTGTTGGAATTGGTTTTCTTGCAGGTTGTTCAACTTTTATAACCTAGAATCAATGCAAAAAATAGTTACCATTTTGATATTAATTCTTACCTGAAAAAGCGCCGGAGTACTCATTAAATTAAAAAGAAAATAGCAAAAAAAATTAAATATTTATTGAAAATTACTTTCAATTGTTCATCAAAATATTGTGGCATACATGTAGCTCCTTAAATAAACAGTTCATCGAAAAGTTGTCAAAACTTACTTCATCAAGACCAAGGGGTTTTTCATCTGCGCTTGGTTTTTTAGGTTCAGGTGGTTTGACATTAGTGTGCCTTGATTTAGTGCACCCCTAACAAAATAAAAAATATATATATTTCCCTCAAGGGTGACTTCAACTTCTCAAGGGTTTCATCAATGCTTTCAGTAGGAGGGTAACTGTGATTCACCTGAGACAAAACATTTTGAACTGAACTTCCTTATAGGAAAAACTTTCGTCAGACAGTCAAACCAGGTGGGCAAAATCATCCTCACAACTGGTCAATTTGCCTGGTACCCAGTCCTTAATGAAACCTCTGCTTATGTGAATGCAATAATGGATACATGTTTTGTTTAAAATACAGTCAAAGTTTAGACAGAAAATTGGCTTAAAACACAGACTGAAGCTACCTCTGTTTGCTACAGATGAAACACCTTACCCGAATGTTGAGGAATTCTGTAAAATCTGAGACCCTTTTCTTGCAACAAGACCATCCCTAAAGTCAAAAGAAGAAATTTATTTCAACACTAATATCATTACATCAACAAACCCAAGGCATTAAATTCATTACAAGTGAATTAGAAGGCATGGAAGCCTGATGGCTGTTGTACTGGACACCTGACTGAGCAGTCTAGATTCAAGCACCAGCTATGGACATTGCATTGTGTTCTTGGGCAAGACACTTTACTCTCACAGTGCCTCTCTCCACCCAGGTGTATAAATGGCTACTGGTGAATTTCACGTTTGGTGTAAACCTGTGATGAACTACCATCCCATCCAGGAGGGAGTAGACTGAAATACTTTCAATCCCTTCAAGCTATGAGTAGCCACTTGGCTATTAGAACACTGACTTCACCTTTCTCCAATTAGCTAAGGCATACAGCTTATTGAGCCTTGGGTACCCTCAAGTGAATGAATTCACAGCTCACCTTTAAAGCATCATGAAAAACTGGAACACCTGGATGATGTGTACACTTGTCTGCAAACCAATGAGGTAAATATAGTTTGTAATTGAATACTTTCTTTTTCCTCTACAGCCTAGGCAATTTGCTGTTTCAAATTAAAGTAATGAGACCCATTTTGGAGACACAAGCTCTTCTAGCTGATTGCCATAAATACCGTAAATCCTCGAATTAGCACCTGGGGCGCTTATTTTAAATTTAGGAGAAAAGGGGGGGGGGGCGTTTATTCAAGGGGGGCGCTTAATCGAGTGAGGGCGCTTATTTATTTTTTCCCAAACGGTAGCCTGACATGATCATTTTTTTCAATACATCATCTGCACGTAACCAACTACATAAGCTGTTTATCGACATAAAAAGCTGATCCTAAAGTTTAAATCGCGGCACCATTAGTACTTAACGTGTGCACAAACTGAAACAGTGTACAAATCTAACACAACATGACAAGAACTATGCATCCTTTGTCGTCTTAGTACTCATCCACAAAATGGGGGAGGGGAGGGAGCGCTTATTCGAGGACTGGTATTTATTTTAAATTTTAGTCGATAGGAGGGGCGCTTATTTGAAGGGGGCACTTATTCGAGGGGGGGCGCTAATATCAAGGATTTACAGTATCTTGTAAAGTTGGTTATGAGAATCTCCCGGTAGATCAAGGTATTATCTCAGTATAAGACAAGATCGACTAGGCTAGATGATGGTCTTGTAATACGCAATTAAATTTTCTTTGCCTTGAGACCTTCAAGTATCAAGCATGCTGTGTTCTAATCATGTAATCATATTAGGAAAAACATTTCAATCAAAAACTAATAATTCTTACAAAAGGAGTTGCAATAAATCCACAAAAGACAACTGAGGCAGTCCACACTACCCAAATAAGAAAAAAAATTTCAGTCCACTGTCAAATGTACTGAGATTGCCGGAGAGATGTTGAAGTTTCGGGTTGACTGGAATATAATTAGCCTTCGGGAAAATTACAAAAAAATCTTCGATCACATTTTCAAGGAAGGATATAAAATTTCTTATTCTATTCTAGGTAGCACGAAAACGTTTGTTACACTAAAGATAAGCTTACTTGAGCTTAAATAGAGATTTTTTTATACAAACAACCCTGCAGTCTGCCTGCATGCAAACATAAGCTTATTACCTTGAGCTAACAGCTGTAATTTCTAAGGTATAAGCTTATCATATTTTACCTACGAGAACAGAAACTTGTTAAAATACAAACATCACAGAAGCGTATATATATTGAAATGTCGTGATCGTTAATGATTCGTGGCAAATTTAGGGAATTCATCCAGCGAAATTTGTATGTGACAGACAGCATGAAATTCTGACTACGACAAATCATTCACGTAACTATCAACGACTACCAGTAAACGTTACCTTCTCCATTTTCGTCTTCCTTGTATTCTTTACCACAGCCCTTGTTATAGCACTGGAGTAACTCATTCGTAGACATTTCAACTAAAAATACCTCAAATTTCAAGACAAAAAGATGACGGAAACTTCTTTCGTTGTGCGCTTCGAGAAAACACGGAAAACGCCGGATGAGAAATATCCCATGTGCTAAATTGATCACCGCTGACCGCATTACCGGAAGTCATGAAATAAGTAAATAGTAGAGAAGACCCTGGGGCCAAGGTGATAAATAAATTGAATATTTCAGGGTGGCTCGCCACGGCTTATACATTTTTTCAGCATTTCTTCCGCGACTAATCAATACCACCACTCTTTTCTAGTTGGTGCCATAATACTGGTATCAAGCAAATGGTCAATTATTGTTGAACACATTACGGGTTGTTTAGCAACAATGAAGGGTTACTATAGCAACAGCTTTACCAGTTAAAGTACCCTTTATTTTAGCATCAAGCGTTTATAACTCAAAATCGAGTTCAGTGACCGTTTGTTTTTGCTATCGCATTGCAATTATTATGATAACTATACAACCTTTTGCCAAGTTCTAAAAAATGTGGCAGGGGGATTAGAGCCACTATGTATTTCAGGTGGCTCTGAACCGGATGCAACAATTTTTTAAAGGATAGATGAATTTTTCACTCGTTTTTTCTCACAATGGAGTAACTTTCAGATGTAGATTGCAACGTTTCGACTGCTATACCGCTAGTCTTCATCAGGCGATGAGGTCAATTATTGTTGCATGTCACTGTTTGTAGCACCTTGGTTTGCTGCTATGAGTGAAAAATTCATCTATTTTATCTTACACCACAATGAATAATGTACACATCTTTAATGACAATTTTTTAAAGTTTGTGAAAAGTTGAATCTTAATAAAAAATGGGGTCACTGGACTAATTAAGGGTGTTTTTAACGGGTCCTATCTTTGCCATGGCAACCTGCAATGTCAAGAACATAGGCACGCAAGGCGTGCAAGAGTTATTTTTTTGTGTGAAGTGTTGGAGATAGAAGCATTCATGGTACAGTTATGATTTGGTTAATTTGACAAGTTTTTTTGGTTGCGATGTTACATCGGCCATGGTAAGATAGCTAAATAGTACGCCATAAAATGTCTGAAAAAACTACAGTAATCTGACACGTCTCCAGATTAATGTAGATACCATCTTATTTTCTAACAGGCAATTTGATTCATTCTTTGATACAACCCGCAC